TTACAGCCTACCATGTCCGTGGACGGCCAAACGCTATGGAGTATCACAGATTATGGGTTACCGCAGCTATGGGTTAAGACAGAGTTGACTGTAGCTACTTCCTTTGTCTTTGGCTACGATACGAACAGCACGTGCATCACCACGTTGCATACACGAGCTGCAGGTCTGCAGGAACACAAAGGAACTCCTTTGTTAACGTTGACTGTGACAATCCAGCCACTAGCACCACCTGATCGCTAGTTACTTTCAACACGAGAACAAACAAAGGACGTCAGAGGTATGAAGGTGCGGGGTACAGGCGCTATCTGGTTTATATAAGGCATGCCGACGCCCAGCAAGGTTCAACATCGTCTCTACCTACATCACCTGTACAGTCTTCGACGTGGTGCTCTATCTCGTCATGGTCATCGCCTACTTCTTCCACGCTCTATTCCCCTCTCCTCGCCTTTCAACCGACGCCCACCGTCATCGACGCTGTAACATCAACAACTCCCCACGTCACGGGCCGAGGGCCCGTCACACAGGCCATGCGTCGCACTCGCCTCCGAAGCGCGGGAGTAGCTCCCAGTCTGGCACGTCGTCCGGATCTTCGGGATCGCAGCGCTCAGTGCTGCCCATGCCTGGCGCCTGGCCTGTCAGTAGGCAAAGTTCTGTCTGGAGGAAACGGCGTCGGCAGGAGGCGCACCTTCGCGACACGTTGGCCACGAACCAGCACAAGCTCGACGCGCTTCTGCGTAAGCACCAGGAATCCCAGGAGAGGTTGCAACGCATGCTTGAGGAGGAGGAAGAGCGTTCGAAGAAGGAGCGGCGACTTGCGGAAGAGAGGCAGCGGCAGCAGGAGGAAGAGATAGCACGCATACGCCGTGAGGAGATGGAACGCGTGAACGAGGCGCATCGCCAGCAGGAGGAGGAGGAAGCCTTTCGACGCGCAGTAGCCGAGGCACGCGCGGAGGCGCGCCGCGAAGCGCGGGCAAGCCTGGAACGGGAGGATGCACGCCGTCAAGAGGGGGAAGCGCGTCCCCAGACGGAAGAGGAGAAAGCCTTTCGACGCGCGGTAGCCGAGGCTCGCGCGAAGGCACGCCGCGAAGCGCGGGCAAGCCTGAAACGGGAGGATGCACTTCGCCAAGAGGCGGAAGCGCGTCGCCAGCGGGATCAAGAGGAAGTCTTTCGACGCGTAGTAGCTGAGGCATGCGCGGATGCACGTCGCGAAGCACGAGCACGTCTGGAACGGGAGGCTGCACGCCGCCAAGAGGAGGAGGCGCTTCGCAAGGAGATGGAGGAGGCGCTTCGCCAGCAGGAGTGGGCACGCCAGAAGGAGCGCGAAATGCGCGAGCGCCGGGAGGCCCAGCGCGAAGAAGAGCTCCGGCGTCGCCTTGAGGAGAACATTCGTCGCCAGTCCGAAGAGAGCATGCGTCGTCGCACTGAAGAAGACATGCGCAGCCAAGCGTTCGCGGAGTACGAGAGGAAGTGGAAGGTCTTGCAAGATGTGTCCAACGGCACTCACAATCCCGCGCCTGGCACCGTTTGCGGCTTGCTTGAATTTCCCTGGCCCGCTTTCAACGGTCATGTCACCCTAGACTCCGCGTCGGTGGCTAACTTTCTTCTTCATCCCGAGCGTCCCGGGAAGTCTCGCACCCCTCGTCAGACTGTGCGTAAGGAGTGCTTACGCTGGCACTCCGACAAGCTGGTCAATATCATGCCCGTAATCCGCGAGGGGGAGCGGGAGGCTGTTCTGGAGTCTGCTAATAATGTCATGATCATCCTAAACGACCTTATGTCTCGCCTCTGATGTCTGTCGCTGTACAGATCTGTGTTCCGCATCCCATGTATTCTGAAACTTTGTAGTTCCTCTTGCCATGTATCTTACGAGTACTGAATTGAATGCTATCTTACGACTTGGTAACCGTCCCGGATTCTATTAGATGTGTTTGACCTGCATGCAGTACTGGAGCCAGGCGCTCTCAAGTCCAAGTACTACCGCAAGTCACAGGCCTTCAGTCACGCAGCTATCTACCAGAGCTAAGCGAGTTCCGAACGGCGCTTCACGCGCTACAAGTCACCGATACCGATGCATGCCAAATTGACGCACAAGTTCGTAAGATGATAAGAGATATCCAATCAGCCCAAAGAAGATCGCGAAGACAGACCAACAGCACCATTCGCGCGCATTCCCAGCGATCCTACAGCAAGAGCGTTGAGGAACTGTATAGTTTATGTGAACCGAGCCCTTAGCACTGCATACATGCGACGTACGTTCGTTATGCTCCCGTACCTCACACGCTTTCCAAACACACAGGTCGCCTTCGAAAGACGCGGTGGCGAGTAAAATATGGTCCCCGCTCTCGGTCGCATGGCCCTACATGGTAGATCATCAGGCATGCGCTTACGTCAATCAACCAGTATCTGAGACTCACGACCAAAACGGGAACTCGGTGTTGCTCTGCGAAGCAATGAGCGCCCATAGCAACCTACAGCAACCTACACTGAACAATAGCGGTATACTCACCGTGTACTAGTTTCTGTATCTGTTTGATGCCTTCCCCTTCGGTACCCCAGATACGAACATTGCCGACAGACGTTCCTGTAGCCAATGCATGCCCTCCATGCACGTACAGTATCGTGAGCGGCGTGACGAAGGCTCCGTGATCTAGAGGCATCTCTTGCTGGAGAGTTTTGGTGGTCAAGTCGTAGATAGAGATCCCTCGACGGATGTTGTGGATGGCGAGGAAGCGGCGATCTAGTGAAAGATCGGAACGGCCACTAAATGTAGAAGGTATCGTCAGAATCGGGTGCACCCGATTCACGCGTCATCGTACCATCCCACACAAGATATTGTCCATAACGGAGCAAGAGCGGATAGATCCCAGCAGCTGAAGGGCCTGCTCAGGCATAGTCATCAGGAAAACGGCGAGACTCACACTATTCCATGCCAAAGGTAAGTACAGACGACGTGACCGCCAACGGTATCCTCCAGCATAGTTGGTTGGGTTAACCAGTGTACCGAGCTGATGACGACGCCTACGGTCTCATCATTGACAAATGGCCGTGATATGTCAGGGATCTGGAGAAGCTGGCGCCATTCCCCTGAGTGGAAGTCAACAGTGTATCGAGAGAGGACTTCCGGTATACATATGGAGTGCCTACAGACCTGGCTGGAAGTGGCGAACAATCCACACGGATGCTGCCGATCCTGTCGCCGTGATAATAACATCCGCTCCTGTGGTCGTTGATGCCTTGAGGAGCTGAACGGAGCCTCGAATATGAGCTGCGTGCTTTCGTATATCAACTTCCAGCGCTGACTACCTCAACGTCAGCTAGGCCTCATAATGAGACTATGATATATCCGCACGGTGCCAACCACGCAGCACGACGATACTGTCCCAGACGAGCAACCAGCGTAGAAGAACTCCCTTCTATGCGTTGGCCACTCCAGGGACGTGACGGGCAGCCCCATATCGGCCTCTCCTAGAAGCTTTCCTGTATTCAGAGACCAAATACGCACGAATCCATCCAGGCCTCCGGAGAGAAGCCAAGTCCCATCAGGGTTGACGGCCAACGATAAGATGTGCGGCATCTGGTTCTCGTTATCGTCCGATTGCCCACCGTGTCCTTTCCAGGACAAGACGCGACGATATCGTAGCATGAGCGTGAGTAAGACAAGATGCCGCCGCTGATATGGTGGTGGTGGTAAAGAGCGAGGTATGGCAGCGCACGCGCGCAGAGGCTAAGTGTCAAGCATCGAGCGCAAGGCAGTAAGCATCACATGGAATCGCCGAGCGACTGATGATCGATAGTTGCTCGATATCAATCAATTATCCGCAGTTGACACAGAGAAAGCGGGTACGAACGTCAAGGGACGGGCTCGCATCGCATTTTTTCTCGCCACGGACCAGAAGACTGTATGAGTGCTTCAGTTTGTAGACTACGCGAAACCGCGCCTCACCACTCACGAATGACGAAGGGAGAAGTCCTCACGTTCGTCCGGGTAAGCCGTGACTAAACGCACTCTTCCGAACCGTGTCCAGATCTACGATCCGCCGCGCATGCGGAGGGAGCACTCGCCGGGCGCCTGTATCTACTCGCGTAGACCCGGGAATGCTCACTACACTCTCTTGTCTTGAGCACGAAGACGTGCTCGTGCACGCAAGCTAGGAGCTGATATGGTCTCCGAGTCACGGTGAGAAGTACCGGCTGCTAGTTCGCTGGTTGAGATTGGCGAGGTTCGAAACGCGATCAGGTGACATTTCAAGCTCGACGCGCCGCACAAACTTCTCCCCCCATATTTGGTATTGCGTGCGCGCGGGGGATCCCCCTTCTCAAACATGCCAAAGTATACGTCATGTATATCAGCCTTGAGCGTGATGCTCTGACGTAGCCGCATCTCTCGCAACTTCTGTCATTTTCAGGCTTTCCCTTGCCTTCCTGGAAGCGGATACTTATTCCTCGCTTGCGCATGTGCACGATTTCAATCATAATCCCAGCAAACATCCAAGTAATACCGCACTAATTCGATAAGCCCTATCGTAAAGCTATGGTGGTTATCAGAAAACACACTCCGTGAGGCCGGTACATCAAGTCTCTTCCTATTCACAGCAACCAAATATGTTGGACGGCGTCACTCAGGCGCATCCTCGTAGCAGGTGAGGTTTGAAGTAGTCGGCGCACAAAGTCCAAACCTGAAAAAGTAGGGATAAGTAGAAAGACGACATTGCTGCCGTACACAGAAACTCACAAGCATAGTCTCCATCAACCTCTTTCTCGAGCTCACTGAGTTCGACCCTCCGGCAAGCCATATTCTCCCAGAGACTCCTTCCCTTCAGAGTAGTCCACACGAATGGGGTTGACCGAGTCAGCCTATAGCAAAGCCAGGACACGGAGTTGGTGCAGCAAGATCGCGGGCTAGGCATGATAGACGTACATAAATACCACTATAGCCCCAATGCTCCACGAGTCGACAGAAGGGCCGTAGCAGCTGCTGGTTACTTCAGGCGCGACATAGTCGGGAGTACCACATATAGTCTAAGCATGGTGAGTTTCTGAGAGGCATACAGCAGTGACAATCACTCACTTTGAGAGGGTCGGCGTTGATCATATGCTTAGACAGACCAAAGTCGGTGATCTTCACCACGGGGACCGGCGACGTAGAGCTGTCAAGGAGGATGTTCTTCCATCCGACAGTGAGCCACGACATAGCGCGTGTAGGGATATGACAACGACTACGTACCATGGGCTTCAGATCGCGATGTACAATCAGTATGTCGTGCATGTACTTGACGGCACTGCAGATCTGCCGGGTGATACCTTGAGCCACGCGGATACCTTGATCAGGCCATCAGCAGAGATAGTAGAATGCACATTGCCGTACGCACCGATCGCTTGCGACGATTCCGACCTCTTGCGAACGTACTGGTCGAGGTTTCCGTCACGGACTAGCTCGAGAACAATGACTGCCGCAAAGTTTTAGCATCAATCCGCGCCGCAGCGAAGATGGGCGTAGTCGCACATGTCTTATTTGACTCTGGGTCCTGTATAGCCTCATAGAAAGCGCAGATATTTGGATGCACAAGCAGAGCACAGATCCGGACTTCTTCTGCAATCTGCGATCTGCGATCCGCATCGCCTGTCTCTGAGTACAGCATCTTGATTGCTCGATACGATCTTGGACCGTACTTGTACCGTTTGCGCGCCTTCCAGACCATACCATATGCCCCGCTGCCTATGGGACTATGCCAATCTATCAGGTAACCCTTCGCAAGCGAGGGTCCGTCAGGGAGGCAAGTTTGGTAAACATAGACTGCAACTGGCATTAGGACGTCTCTGACTCGATCCCTAAAGAAACGCACCGCGCGACGACTCAAATATTGGCGCTCCCAGCGCGATTACATCGCCATCCCGTAAAGCCAGCTCCCCAGATCCCGAGAGAAAGATACTGTTGATCTACGGGTGTTCGTGAGCGCCTGTCATCCCCACAAGATCAGTAGCTACACGGCTCACCCACGTGCCATTTTTACAGCTGCAGTTTCTGATCTTGACCATTCCGGTGATACAATCATAATGTATCTTGCAGTGATATGGCTCTGTGAAAATATTCAAGGTAGGTTCTTGCGGTTACACGCAGTCTACACCCGGCGAAGACTCACCCACAGACTTGTACCCTCTGATCACGACGTCACACTCCGCGTGTGTACCAAGTGAGCAGTAAACATCGTCTTTGCGCAGTAAGATAGTCCAGCGGCGGAAGAGTTTGCCATTCTTGCGTGGGATTAGTCTGCCGTACAAGCCTAGAGAAAGAGAGGCGTCGATTTCTGAAGCCATGGCTGCAGGCATACGAGAAGAGGACGCCGATGCCACACTCCTATATGCGAACTCTAGCTCATCGCCCGAAGATCAGAAGCGCGACATCGTCGCTGGTCAGCGCAGTGCTCCAGCGAGTGCAGGATAAAGGACGTGGAGGCCAAAAAAGGATTCATGCCGCCACGAGGCACGACACGCGGTGGATAATGTACGGACCATGTTACGGAACATGCACGGACCCAACGCGCACAGGGTTGTTCCTTCGCGCTGCTGTGTGTAGCAGCGTGAATAAGCCTCGCCAAGTCGGGTACTAACCAACAGGGTGGGAGGAAGAGGCAAGTAGATGGTCGTGAGGAAGCCGACGTGACCGGTGCCGAACGCCGCGGGCCCCGCCAACTGATGGCGCATACGTCGCCGCTGGGACGGCAAGCCCCTATCCGAGCAACCGTAAGACACAACGAAGCCATGGTACCGGTCTGTGCATATAGCTGGTAGCGATCCCGGTACCGCTAGATCGCCGTCTCTGTCACTGCCTTTTTGTTTGTGACTGACGCCCAAGCGACAATGTCACCGCTCAACCGCCCACAGGAACGCTCAGCGAGCTAGCGAGCTGTATCTCCAGTGTATTGGGCACGGGTGTCGCCGTAGTTGTCTATGGCAACATCCATGCTCATTCCTTCAGTTGGCTCAAGAAGGGGATCACCGCAGGAAGCAAGAAGTGGACGCGTGAAGTCTGTGACACGTACTCCGCTGACGCACACCTTGCTTCCTACTTCGACCGATCGCGAACGACGAGCATGCAACGCCGCTACCACCGCTGCTCGTGGAGTGCGTATGTCTCTGCACATGATAGTATACTGAAGGCGCTGGACATTAATAGATGCCCGAGTTCTCAGGACTCTTGAACCCGTCTTTGCTGCTGTCGATTGCGTCCTCGAGCCGACTCTAACGTCACGGTGAACTCTCTACGTCTCTTCAGTCGTCTATGTCCCACGTTCTGCGTACGACCCGTATTCCGAGAGTCTCTGAGACACTTTCTGCCCTTCTACATCGAACCCGTGTGCAAACATCATCAACGACGCTCTGGCGAACTGTGAGGAGCGCGAGTCCCATGTCGACACCACTTCACTTGCCGTGGCTCACTACACTCGACCGTACGGGTGAAACTATGCCAGGCCTGTGGATCTGTCTCCCTTTGTTCATGAAGTGGTGTGTGTGTGCCACGGTCGCAGAATTGTGGCCCCGACGAGGATGTGGTTTAGCAATTGTCCGTCTCATTCAACCGGTCCACAGCTCAGAGCCCACAGCTCAGAGCCCACAGCTCAGAGCCCACAGCTCAGAGCCCACAGCTCAGACACCACATCTTTGACTGGTATACATAAAGACGACGCGATGAATCGTCAAAGTATCCAATACAGCAGTCTCAATGGCTTCTCAACACGCAATGGTCGGTTCTATCGTCATCTACTGCCCGCTGAATTGACGTGTTGACCGTTCGCTCAGTCCCTCCGCGGAAAGCATGACAACGCTACACCTCGGGCGCCCAAGGGTACCAACGCTATTACCACATCGGGCAAGAAGGGCGTTAGCGATCCCGGGCCTTCACCCCACAAAGTGAGATGCTTGTAACATCATCAGCCGTTCAATTGAGTCTGATAGCCCTTGTCTTCTTAGCCATCGCCGCAGGGCGGCCACCAGCGCGTATACACGACGAATTCGGACAACCACAAGCCCGAGAATGTTAAACGGCCCTTGCAACGAGAGCCAACGCTGGTGATCCAACATACGACTGATCACTACCACCTTGCCAACCGTCGCATGGGTGAAGTAAGTGTATATCCTGGTCTCGACACTTCTCTTGCTAAAGCTATTGGTCAGAGCTCTACTCGGACACAGTCAACGGAGATTTATGATTCTACGATGGTCGGTAGCTTCACGAGCGATGTGTCGATATCGAAGGACCCCCGATTACTCCTCCAACGAGTCCCTACGGAGATCGTGCATCACGCTACGAACGAGTACTCCTTGACGGAGTGCAGAGCCCCACGCAAGTCGTAGATTACCGTAGTATGACTGATGCAACTTGAAGTGGACGCTAGTAATAGGAGTACGTCTCCGGTATGCTTCCCCGAACGTAGTTTAGAACTTTAGTCGCCATGGACAGTCTGACGGACGGGATGGGCTTAATTGCGAGTGGATAGCGTATGTACAATACTACAACTAGACTCGAATGGCAGTGGTTGTTCGTGTGACATAGTTCCCGTACGGGACGAAGGCGTAACGTTGATCGGGAGGGGCTCGAACTCGAAAGCCAGGAGTTGCAGGCTGACATCTACTGTGACGCGTCTAGTACGCGCAAGCTCTGGACATTGGAGTAGGGCCATGTAAGCTCTCCAAAGACGTAGTAGTATATGTGGCATGCCCATGCCATATGTTCGCGCAGGGGGTCAACGGCCGAACTGTCACCGGCGAGAACCTGAAGGACAAAGAAGTGTCCAGCTTGGGAAATGCACACGCGTGGACACGTGTATGATGACATGCCGGTTCTGCGCCTTGACTAAAGTCCCAACCTTGCTTTCTACCGTCATCCTCGAATCAGGAGCCGAAGTCTGGCGCTCTCAGTGCCATATCCTCTCAGAGCCTGTACACAGTCTATAGGCTGAGTGCTGGCTTTCGATTTCCTGGTTGGCGCCAGGTGTGATCATGCTGACAGCAACCTGCATGTATGCAGGGTGCAGGTGCCTCATGCATGATTAGAGCGCCTCGTGTGTGACTAGGCGATGCCAGTGTGATTATACGGCAGGATGCGCGGGAACGCTTACAGGCCGAGGCCACTTGCTTTATCCCTCGCTCATCCGCATTGAACAAGGGATGCATTCGGCGTCGTGCCTTGGGGCTTCTCTACGGAATAGATCCGATGGGACTTAAGCGGGGCGTTGAGAGCTATCGCCAACATCCAACTCCTTCACATCAAGGGGGTCGCCTCCGGTTGTCATTCTTCCATCCTACCCCGTACCATCTGCGCCAGACATGTCCCACGAGGCCGCTCGCGATGTGGCTTGGTTTACTCGCTTCGCTCGCATCTTGCCTTTGCTACCCGGCGATTTCGACCCCACTCAGAGTGAGGGGGTCTGGCTTCATTGCACGCGTTCTCGTCACACTATCGGTCGCGGCGCTCCAGGGCGGATCGATGTCTCTGTTCGCGTCGACAATAGCAAGGGGCACGTCGGTATGTTTCCGGACTTCGTCTATCTCAAGGGCCCATGCTGAACGAGGTGACAGGCATCGTGCATGCTACCATCACATGGGACGATCGCACCAACCTCGCGTATATAGAAGACTCCTCTCTAAATGGGACCTGGGTATGTACCATTCAATCCGATTCGAATCAGAGCTTGACACAGGCCAGGTCGGAGGTCGTCGTCTCAAGGAGGCAGAGAAGGTCGAGCTTAAGCACAATGTTGTGGTATGGCTGGGACCCCCACGCAAAGAAAAAGCGTCTGGTAAGATTACTTCTTGCATGTTGAAGGCGATGACTGATTTAAGCTCGACTTTAGCGTTCATCTTCGAGAGTTTTTTGGCAGTCGATCGTTGGGTCAGAAGATGGTGCCTAGAGGTGACACTGGGCTCGGGCGCCTTCGGCGACGTTTACCAAATGCGACTTCGAGAAGAGCCTAATCGTGTGTACGCCGTCAAGGTCGCGCACTACAGCTCCGATGGGCAATCTGGACGGCCCAAAGCGGAGGTTATGCAAGAAGTCAACACGCTACGCAGAGTTCAAGATCACCCTAACATCTGCGCATTCGAAGAGCATCACGATTGCCTGGAGCGCGGTGCTATATGTGCGCCAACCTACTCAACCGCGTTTCGCAATCACTGATCCCTGTCGCAGTTGTTGTCATGCCTCGCCAAAGTACAGACCTGAGGTCGCATTTTGCTCGCCGTCGTCCGAGTACGTGTGCCTCCCGTGTTCTCAGCGAGCCTGATATTGATACCGCTTCAAGCCATACAGGAAATACGGACTTCTCTCAAGCAGATTCTGTCTGCTATCGCTCATATGCAGGTAAACCGCATGGTACATCGCAACATCAAGCCCGACGTACGCCATCCGCCCCCTTCATCTAGCCCTCATACTGACCGAATGGTGAAGAACATCTTCGTTACATCAACGTCACCTTACCTTCTCGCAGTCGGCGATTTTGGGCTAGCATACCCGGTGAACTTGCCCTCCACGGGCGCTCCAGTGCGTATAGGCATCACTCTAATTAGTGTCCGACTCACGCTCTACTAGGCCTGCTTGTACCGAGCGGGTACGGTCTGGTACATGCCCCCGGAAGTCGTCACAGATGCTCCGTTGGAAGACCCCTTCAAGTTTGATGTATTCAGCGCTGGCACATCCATATCTCATTTGTACGTCATGTCTCCTGTCGCGGAAAGGATACCTCACGGAATCATTTTGACAGGGCCATGGGCGAGGAAGCGTTCCACACCGGTCCTTGGGACATACCTTATGGCAGTACCGACGAGCAGGACTATTTCGACCAGCGGGAGCTGCGGTGGGATCTGATGGAATCTGCCAATCTACCCCCTCCATGTGCGTATGAAGGGAACCAGATGCCTTTCGATGACAAGCTCTGACGCGTAGCACGACAGGTCAAAATGTTTTGTACGGGCTTACTCATCCTGACCCGAGCCTCCGTTGGTCTATCCAGGAAGCCCTCACGTTCAGCTGGATCGCAGACGCGGACGACGCTTCCGGACAAGCTCTTCCGCCCCCTGTGCCTACCATCCCTTACATCGATGTGACCAGCGAGCGTGAAGGGAACAATGCTTCGGCCGGTACGTCGCATACCAACATACTTGTAGAAGCACATGTTGATTGTCGAACTAGACCCATCGACTTCACCTGCTGGCCCTCAGCTCGATGTTGCTACCAAGAGGCGTTCACCACGCCTGGCAAATGCGATGAAGAACGGCGACGTCGAGAAAGACGGCAGGAAGAACGTAGGCGAAGGCAAGAAAGCGAGAGAGGTCTTGAAGAAGGCAGAGCTTCGGGGTCGGCCTCGCCGCAGAGCCAAGGTCGCGTAGTCGCACCTCCAGTTTGCATCCTCCATGTGTTATCCGGTATCCTGCTCTTGTCGCGGTATGTGTACAGTAGGATGATGCGTTGTATGTACGATAGAGTCGTGTGTCAGTGTATCCGTGCTTTACTGGAAGGTGCGCTTGTGAGATGAGCGCGGGAAAATGGCAGCGTCGACCAACTTCTTCGCCGTTTCCCTGACGATGAGTACGCAATATCTGGGATCATAGTCAATGACGAGCGATCCATCATCCCGCACCGTACTGCCCACAAGGACTGGTCTTCCGAAGTCCTGAACACGCGGCTTTCGATATATGTACCAGCGTACATATGGACAATACACGTCCTACGACATCACTCACACCAAGAGCTTGATACGCATACAACTGAACGAGTTCTCTGATCATAGTCCACGGCTCGTGGCGTGCGATCGATTGAGCGGACCCGTAGAGGTTTATCGTGTCCATGTGCAGGCCTGTCCATCGCATACGACACCGTGCTGGGGCCCTTCATTGGCAACTATCTGATATAGGATCCCTACAACGTCTTGGCATCACACGAACGGTGGCCTAGTACTGGGTATCAAATCAGGCACCGCTTCCCGTCGTAGCAGCGGGAGCGGTGCCAGCCGATCGCAGGGTTCGCCGCATACTACCACCATCGCAGTGCGACCTCAGGTGCGCGCGTTGCAAACGGCCAATCCCTGTCTTCATTGGTATTCTGAAAGCTCATCACTTCGTAGGGTTACGCTCGCCATGGCCGCTCGTGCCAATGATAGGCGCAACCGGCTGGAAGTCTGCCGCTGTATCGCCTATGGATGCGCAGAGTTAGAATGCGTCGATCCGCGGTTCCTCGACGGGCGAAAGGTTCCTGGACGGCTGGTCGATACTCAAGAGTTGAAGGCTCACAAGTTGGCGGAAGCTCGCCGTGAGATAGAAAAGAACGCACAGCAACGTAAACACCAGCTTTTCAGCCATCATACGAGTACTTACTTAACTCCTACAGAACGCCGACGTCATGACGCCCCGATGGCAGCGGCACCTGAGGTGTTTCCTACGATTGAAGAGTCTCGCCGCCTTCGTGAGCTGCGTGCTCTTCGAGAAGAACTCTCATGGACTCCCAAGATCGATCAGATGACGCCGAAAGACTACGCTTTCATCGAAGAGCCTAGGATGGATACCCGGCCAGATGAGGTAGATCCGGAGCGGCTGGATCCCTCTGCCACCTCAAATGCGCCGTTCTTCAGACACCTCGAGTTTCTACACCAGCTCAGCGAGAAGGTGGAGGCTATATACGCCGATGAGTGGCCAACGGCGTTGAAGGAGAAGGATTCCCTGCTGCAGGACATCGAAGCACAGTTCGTGGCTTTGGCAGATCGGCTCGGCCAGATATACTTCATGCAGGCTACCGCACTGGAAGCAGCGTCTGCTGCCGCCGCTGCCGAGCGCGCACAAGGCCATACGGTGTTCGACACCGCACCCTTCACGCAGGACCCGGTCAAAGACCTGTCGCCGCTCGCCGCGACAGTCTGTATCGTCGCTGTTGCAGCACTGCTATTGCTCGGGTTGTCGGAGGATCACTGCCGCTTTCTGACACGGAGCATGGTGTTCATGTCGACGTTGACTCTGAAGACTACGGGCCTCTCTCGCGAGGAGGCTCAGACACGAACATCTGACATACCCATCGATCCGCGGACGGCAGTGAAGAGACTGCGCTTGCGTTCCACCGTCAAGTACACCCCATACGTGATATGCCCATCTTGTACGGCATGTTACCACGAGCAGGGCCCCGATTCCTACCCGGAGTTGTGCACCACGGCACCCTTCAATGGCAGTCGGCCTTGTGGCGAAGCGCTCACCCACCGGCGCAACTTACACGGACGCATTTGGACGTACCCTGTTCGACGGATTCTTATCCAAGATATGAAGGCATGGCTCGCTTGGTTCTTATGCCGGCCGAACATCGTCAAGTCTCTCATACAAGAGGCCGACCCGCAGGCCGAGATGACTGATATCTTCAACGCCTACGAGGTGACTTCATTCGTCGGTCCTGACGGCCAACCGTTTCTGAAGGCTCAGTCGGGGGAGATCCGTCTACTATTTGCCCTCAACGTGGATGGCTTCAACCCGTTTCAGATGAAGGAAGCCGGGCGAAAGTACACTTCGACGGCGATGTACATGACATGCCTCAATCTTCCGCCTCATCTGCGCTACCGGGTTGAGAACATGTTCCTCGTCGGCATCATTCCGGGTCCTAAAGAGCCGGTCAAGGACAACATCAATCACGTCCTCGCGTTGCTCGTGGATATGCTACTCGAGTTCTGGCAGCTACGCGTTAGGTTCTCCCGTGTTCCTCTTCGCGAACCTGGTGTTCTCATCTTACTGGCGTTGTTCCTCGTCATATGCGACACGCCTGCGGCGCGCCAGGTATCCGGCTTCGGGGGTGCGGGACATAAGTGGTTCTGTCCATACTGCAAACTGGCTCTCTCGGACCGCGGTAATCTGAACATGAAGACGTGGCCACAACGGAATTACGAACATCACATGGACTGTGCCCGGCGGTGGAAGGACGCGCGGTCCTCGAACGAGCAGGGCAAGATTTATGACGAGGCTGGCGTCCGCTACTCTGCTCTCTTGGAGCTGCCTTACTGGAATCCAGCACGCTTCACCGTCATTGATATCATGCATCAACTGTTCGAGGGTAACCTCAAGCGCTTCCTACGCACGTGGTGGGGCATGTCAGCCTCCCGCGACGACGGAGACGGCACTTTCTCGGACGCGGTCCGTCTGACCCCTCATGAGGCGATCCTTGACGAGCTTTGGCGTCACGTCAGGTCGTCCCCGTTTGAAGAGCTGAAGGAGATGCGCCTCGACCACTTGCAGGCTCTGGTGGAACGATATAACGTGCCCAAACCCAAGCTCCACGGTCCAAGCAAGAACTCAAAGGCACCATACCTCGAGGCGCTGGTACAATACGTATGTTATCCCCATATCAGCGGCTGTGTCGATACCTGAGTTGATTTTGACAGCGCATCCATCAGGGCTGGTTCGATGAGAATGGTGTGCGCCTGGGCACGGTGACCGTCGACGAGACTCCGCGCACTGCCCTCGAGATCTTAGAGCTTCAAGCTCATCCCGCAGAGCTGAGGTCTGTTGAGGAGTTTTTCCAGTGTGCACCCGACAAGGAAGAGTTCAAGACGTTCAATAAGCGCGTTCTCACCGCTTATCTCGTGCAGAAGGAAAATCTTGCTCCTCATGACTCTGATCGTGCTCTGTTGCACGGTATGACGAAGACCCAGCTCATCAATCGCCTATCCAACCTGGTGAGTCTTGAGCATGATCCCATACCAAAGCGGCCTCTTCATATGCGGAACAGCGCTACAAGCATGGCATCGTGGACGTCAAAGGGGACCTACTCGATGACGACGACGACGCCAACGCGCAACGTTTCTCAGAGGCACAGAAGACGCTCCCGGGTTCCCACCGTCAGAAATCATCCGTCCTCGGGAAAGAGCGTCTCTGGCAGGTCTGGGACGACATGCTACGTATCGTCATGCCGGGCTGGCTCGGCAGAGCACCCTCCCACATGGGTGACGGCCAGCATCGGAAGGCGTCTGCAGATGACTGGAGAGTTTTTGTAACGGTCAACCTCGTAGTCACGATGGTACGGCTCTGGGGCGGGTACGGCAAGGATACTCGAGAACGCCAGATGCTTGACAACTTCATGCACCTCGCGGTGGCTACAAAACTCGCATGCTCTCGCAAGATGTCGCGCAAGGTCGCTAAGTTGTATATGGAGCATATGCTGGCGTGGCTGCAAGGCCTCCGCATTCTTTTCCCCGGCGTCGATCTCGTCTCGAATCAACATCTCTCTCTGCACCTCCCAAACTTCTTCCTGAACCTCGGCCCGACGCATGCCTGGCGCTGCTTCGTATTCGAGCTCTGGAACTTTCTGTTCCAATCGATCAACACTAACAACCACGAATGTATGTCTTTGTCTGAGACCGCATTGATGGATCAACAGCTAATTACTGGTCTTATCTCTCTAGGGGATCTCGATATCACCATGTTTGACCGGCTTCTAGTTCAGCAGCGCTTGCGCGCTCTAGTCTTCGACGGTGGTCTCGGCGACGACTTGCAAGATCTCGAACCCGTCTTCGCGTCGTTACTCGAGGGCGACAACAGAGGTACAATGCTGAACGATATCCTGGCATCGGCTCCCGACGACCTCGCACCGACACCTCCTAAGCCCAGTAGGAGATTCGGGGCGTCTGTGTTCGTGTCACGGATACTGAATCAACTCGCCGACTCAGTCTATCGCAAGTTCAGGGTGACGCTCGAGCCGTCCCTTCTTCGTCCGATTGAACGCAAGCAAGTCACAGTTGGCTCGGTGACCTATAGCACCGAGCCTCCGGATTGCTTCGTGGCTATTGAAAGTGGGCTCCCCGGCAATTGGAGACTCGCCAAGATCCAGCGCCTCTTTACGCACGGTTTCGACTTGTTTGGGTCGAATTACCTTCAACGCGACTATGCCGTAGTCCAGACTTACGTCGCACTTTCTGAGGCTGAGGCCCGCCACGATCACTACCGCGAATGGCCTCTTATCAAAGGACAGCTGTCTCATTCCGAGCCCGAAGATGAAGCTCTCGTCGTTCCCGTCGAGGAGATCTTGTTCCACTGTTGCGCAATACAGTGGGATCAGTGGGATGGAATAGAGGGTGGTGTTACCCTTGGTTTGGCATGCGATAGGGTGAGTTCAGTTGTTCCCAAAACATCACGTTGTTGACGAGTTCGACGTAGTGATCGAACCATTTACGCTCGGTGCAAGACGTCGTGGCGCACAACTCAAAGACTACGCGCCGGTGCAGCAATGTCTTATTCCTTTCCACTTCGAACATCATCATGTACTACTATGCGCTTGCATCTGATTGTATTTGAATCGCAATAGTAGATATCGAAGACTACTCAGTACATCCCAAACGTGCAGCAGTCCGTAATAACATCAAGGGAAACATAAACCGAATGTGACGTATACCCGAGTCGCAATCACCGCCAGGATTGTCCGCGCAATCCTCAGCCAAAGAGAGATAGACCGAACTACCTGTACATTGACAGGCATGTCAGAGGAGCTCGTCATGCGATACAGGAACATAATCGCAGTCAGGAGCATAAGACCACAGGTCGCCCGCTTCACGCGCGGTCGAAGCGGAGATAACGCAGACGAGAGACAGAGCGTCCACGAGAGCAAGAGCTCAATATCAATGCCCAGTATCGGTGTGTAGGCGGCCGCCCTGGCGAAGGTATATCCGTCGACGACCTATTGTACTATCAGCAAGGAAGGTGGGAAAGGAAGGAACGGACGAACGGGCGTGACGGTCACGGAGGGGAGCACACTATCGAGGCGTGCAGTATGTTGCGACATGGCTGGCGAAGGTGCCGTTAGGGTGCGCGCTCCGGCAACGTCGAGGACAGACTGAGGCACGCCTGCGACATCATTCGCGGTGCTGAGCAGGTCCTCATTGGCGCTAGTCATGCGAGCGCCTATGCCTTCTGAATTGTCTGGGCTTGGCGTAGGCGGCAAGCTGGTCTCGAATTCCTGAAATCGTTCGAATAAGCGTGCCATGTCGCGCGACAGTCCAACGATTTCTTCGGAGAAAGCCGCTGAAGAAAACATCAGTAATGACCCTCATCGGGTAGATCGTGAGCCCGTAACAACGCACTGCGATCTTCACCCTGACGTTCTGCCAGCTCCGCGACGATAGACCACAGAGATGCAAGGTCTACTTGCGAATCTGTCACGGTATGTGAATATCGGCGTATACGAGGGTTGAACTAGACACACGGTTGTAGGTCGTTTGCGCTCCGGGATAACCTTCTCCGTTGGTGATTGTAGACGGCGCAGGGGTAGTCGGTGCTTCACTATCGTGTATATTAACTGTTTGAAAGACGTCAGGACTCCCTGAACACACTCTACGATGAGAATGAGCTCACGCTCAGCTTGCACTCCCAAGTCGCTGACCACGAGTTCAAGTTTACGACGAAACGAGGCCACCGAATCCTCGATGGCCGCAAACCTCGACTGATTCAGCTCATCGGACTTGTCTATACCTGTCATGACAGCGTCTATTGACTTGCCATTCCTGGTAAATCGGTCAGCACAGCGATGCTCTAACATCTCAACCGTATCACTCAATTCGCCCTGTACCGTCTTTCTCGTGGCTTCGACCTGACCTTCGAGTTTGTCCATTTCATTCTTCACGAGTCGATGAACTGACAGAGCGCTCAGCAGGCCGAACATCTTGATAGTAAGCTGGACACGCACCAAACGCTCGGAGCTTGTCCGTAAGATCAGGATCCAGGACGGAAGGGTGTTGGCGTTGGGTGTCGACGAGTGGCGGCGCGATGAAGCCAAGAGCAAGAGTGCCATCCGCAATGTATACGCTCTCACGTTCCTCGTCCAGGGTGTGGGAGGTATCGAAGCTCTGAGAGGTGGGAGAAGACATGATAACGAGGCGCACTGTGGCGAAGCGCAATGCCGAGTAAAGGGGTGTTCTTATATTCGTCCCGTGTGAGCCTGAGGGGCCACGCTAGGCCTATTCAGTATGAAGAAAGGAGAAAGAAAGATGAACAAAGGCACCACGCTAGCGATGGGAAAGGTAGCACCCGTGATCATAGATAAAGGCACAGGTGTAACGGCACAGCATAGTCACAAACAAAGCAAAGCGCAGTCACAGACAAGACAAGCTCCAGTCACGGATACCATGTTGTAGTCACGTCGGCAGGTAGAAAAGCGTAGCGGCGGCGGCGTACTGCGTAGTGGCAGTTCAAGTCAGAGTTCTCTTCGCGCCGCGCGCCATCTCGCACAGATGATTCTCGCGCGGAAGGCTCTTCCGAAGGCTAGCGCTAATAGGATGACGAAGATGCAACGTGACTTGAAGTCTCTACTGATGATCATATCAGATCTGCGATGGGCCCGAACTGGGTTAACACACAGGCAAAGATGAATCACATGCGTGATGAAGGCACACGAAACACAAAGGAAGTGACACGTGTTGAACATTGCTTTGTCCCTACGTTCACCTCCTGACCTCGAGATCAACATGCGGTGTTATGTTGCTTTGTCTCTTAGTCGATTTCTGCACTACGCTACCCGTATAGATAAAGCTCTCATGTGTGTCGAAGTTCGTCAACCATCTCCCCGGTTCGTGTAGAATAAGTACGCCGCCTCCCCCGCCTTCAGGTTGAAACCTAGCTGATAGCGCGCCTGTGTAGTGAAGCGCAAAGACGTAGAAGATCGCGAATCCGGCGACGATGCCGCTGCCTCTCAATCAAGTGGAAGCGCGCGCAGTGTCGATAGTGACGACTTCGCGTTTCCCCTTGCTGTGACCAATCCCGACGGATCTCAGTCCTTTCGTGCTACGAAAACTCTGCACAAGATCAGCACTGCGCATGTCCACAAGAAGCGCGAGCGACGCCATCTCGTCACTGGATATTCGGATCCCGCTCTGAAAGAGCGCTCGGGTTATGATCGGAAGTAAGCAACTCTATTGGCTCTTCCGGTATCAGCCTTTAACATATGTCTGTAGGTTCAGTTCGACTGGTGGTTTTCGGGCAGAGGACTTGCACTTCATGTTGGGCCCGGACGCGAGCGCGGCTACTTTGTCTCAGGAGTCGAAGGAGACTGCACAAGCCCAGGTAAGCGCACCGACTTGTTGTCCCGTTTTCGTGGTCTGACTTACCGCTCCTTCAGGTTGATGACCCTCCCGGCATACCATCTGTTTCTGCAACCGTACCCGTCTGTTCCGAAGCCGCTTCACCTTCTCTTGTGAGCACGACTCTCTCTTTGTTGATATCGTCTACTAATATGAATCCAGCCCAACAAGGAGGACTCGATGGATCCTGCCAATGTTACGGGTTCGCCCGCATCCTCGTTGTCCTCGTCATCTGGGGTTCCTGCTGCGACAGATACAGTACGTAGCCGGTCTTGCTTTTTCAATGTCGGCATCTGGACTGACATTCATTGGTCAGCATCTCCCCGCGCAGGGCTCTCCATCAACGGGCGATCCGACGGGTGTTCCTCTAGACGATCAACATACTTCGTCGCCGACGAACGAGACCTCCACCACCTCAGAAGCTCCGAGCGTACATCCTGGGCCCAGTGCAGCTCCTCACAGCCCGCGCGGTAGCTCCGGGTTGCCTCCGACGGAGGAGTCACCGGACGATCAACATACTCCGCCGCCTCCGAACGAGCCCCCCGCCGCTTCAGAAGTTACAAGCGTACCTCCTGGGTCAAGTGCGGCTCACGACCCGCGCGGTAGTCCCGGCATCCTGCCACCACGTCAACGCGTTCTTCTAGATAAAGACGCGCGCCGGCCTCATCCATATGCTCCTCCTGGCTCCCAGCGACCTATGGCCCGACGCGTAGAAGACGAAGACGGGTATCCGGCTGCATTCATGCGCTCCAAGCTTCGTAACCGCCAATCGCAACAGCGAAGGCCAGCTCACGAGCGCACATCTACACATCATACGAAGAACGATGACCCCTCGCTGGACGCGGACATCGGTGCTGATGCCGATAACGGCAATGAGCAAGTATACGACGAGCCGAATCACGAGCGGGATCCGGCGGAAACTACGCTCACAGAGGTCTCGACGGGACCGGGCGTCGCAACTTCCTTTAACGCTGCTTCAGAAGACGTCTTCGTATCCCGGCAACATCGCGCGGAGCAGATACGGCAAGTACCTGAGGAACGGACTGGACGCGAAAGCGACGCCGCTGTCGAGCCTACGCGCAACACGGAAGATGTGGCACGGGAAGGGCGCGAGGAAGGATTGCAACGCGACGCGGCTGAGTCTCAAGGCGTCGCGGGTGACGCTGCGCGGAGGGAACGGGAGGAACGGGAACGGGAAGAACAGGAACGCGTAGAGCGTGAGCCTTCGGAGCAGGAACGCTCAGAGCTTGAGCGCATTGAGCAGGAGTGCGCAGAGCAGGAGCGCATCGAGCAGGAGCGTGTTGAGCAGGAGCGCATCGAGCAGGAGCGCGCCGAGCAGGAGCGTGTTGAGCAGGAGCGGGTCGAGCGCGAGCGCATCGAGCAGGAGCGCATCGAGCAGGAACGCGACGAGCGTGAGCGTGTAGAACGAATGCAACGCGAGCATGATGCAGAGATTGCTAGGCGCATCGCCGCGAAGGAGAAAGAGATCGCGGATCGCATCGCCGCGAAGGAGAAGGATGCCGAACACCAGTTTCAAACGCAGCGGCGCCAATTCTGGGACGTAGTTGCACAGGCACACCTGCAGCGCGGTCAACCATTACCCGGCCGATTCACTGGCGTGGACACTCCAGGATACGACGCTCTGTCTTCTCAATGGCGGCATCTTCCTCTCGGTAGCGGAGTTGGAGTTTTGTCTGTCAATGGCAAAGAACTCGACGTCTTCAGCTACATGGGTGCATTGATTGGCCCGGGCGGGGATCTTTCAAACGTTCGTGAGCTATCTTGATATTTTAGGTACCCTTCTTAACCCGACTTCCGCAGATACCAGAGCTGGACCGCTGGGTGGATCTGCTTGCTTTCTTAGGCATGCAGGCAGATCAAACAAGAGTCCTCGCGCGCATGTTAATGGCGCTTTTGAGCCCTTTTGCGGGTTATAGGCCACGGCGAGCTAGCGAACTCAGTCAGCCAGAAGTGCGTGAACGACGGCCCCCTTCAGAACCTTCGGCGGCCACGCAGCCCACACAACCGTCCACAGCCGCGCAGCCCTCGAGCGGATCACGCATTTCATCTGATAATCTTGGCCGTCGTGAATCTAGTATGCCATCCAACCCTGAAATAGTTGAATGAGCTCGAATAACTGATACACTTCTTTTCATAGCGTCTCCGCCGCGGCCGTCGAGTCCACCAGCGTTTAATTGCGATGCGCCCTATGCTGGGCAGCAGGCTTATCGGCGCCTACAACAACAACACTCTCCAATACATTCCCCTACGCCTCCGCCGCCGCCGCCACCTCCCCGCTCTCCGGGGAGGCCTCAGGGGCATCGTCACAACCAGGCCACGAAGACTCCGTTATCCCCACATTCCCCAACACCACGCCGCTCATCGCCGCCCCCGGCTTTCGCGACTTCCCGCCCGAGGACAGATCCTGCACCCACTGCTCAGGGCCAATCGCCGCCACCTATGGCACCACAAACCGCCAGTCCTCGACGCCGTAGTTCAGCCCTTCGCCCTAGTCATGCGCAACCTCCTCAACCTACGGCTCAACCCAAACCGCCGGTCGTTGATGTCACGGAAAGTTTGACAGCTCCGGACAGTCTTCATCATTTCATCGCCCTCGACGAACGTGTTCGTACAGCAGGAGTTCAATTGACACGCCGAGACTCATTACTGCTCGTCACCGGGGACCGTGAGCGCGTCAAACGCGCCATCGAGCTTATTCAAACCGTCCTGAAGGAGTTTGAGTCATTCATTCCCATCAAGTTACCAGCTGTAGGGGAGCACTGGTCTGCTTTCGACTTGAAGGCGGCGTTGGCTTTATACGTCAGGACTCGTTGCATTGTCACGCCTCTCGCCGGAGGGATTGAGATACTGGTACAAGGCCGGCCTCAAGACTTTGCCGCAGCGATCTCCTTGATCACAAACATGGTACGTCTGGCATATTATCCTGTCAATCTCTTACCAAAGCATTCTCAGGGCAAGCCGGCTACAACGCAACGCCCATCTTCGCCGGATCTGCGCGCCAACCTCGCCCCACCCATCTACCGTTCACCGGCGCCCGAGACACATCCCATGCCGACTACCGCCAATCCTATGGCACAGATGCACCAGGGTCGCTCACCGCCTGCTCAAAGTCGTGATCCATCGTCGCATCCGCCGCCGCCACCCTCGCCTCCACGAAGACCTTCCCGTCAACCGTCACCATTGCCCGCACGATCACCGCGCCGCCCTACACGAGCACCTGCCACACCAGCCCGCTCTCCACAAGTCAACCAGCTCCCGCATACCCCTACAGCCGCTCCTCCTCGCCGTGATCGTACAGGTGGTGCAGCAGCGGCGCCAAGGGCATCCCGGCCTACACCTGCCCCTACACCTGCTTCCCCTCATCATGGCCGTACAGGTGGCGCAGCAACACCGAAGGCAGCCCGGCCCACGCCCATGACTAGACCACCCGACAATCCCGGCGATCTTTTCGATGAGTTACAGTCAGAAGAAGGGCAAGCGTCATCCGCGTCTCGCGACCGCCCATTGTCACCCGAAGTCCAAGATCAGCAAGACGCTGCAGGGCGCACATCACAAGCCAACCAGCCTTCGCCCGCCTCTACAGCTGCCCCCTCTCATCGTGATCGTACAGGCGGCGCAGGGACACCGAACGCATCTCGGCCTACGCCCATGACTAGACCACCCGACAATCCCGGCGATCTCTTTGATGAGTTACAGTCCGAAGGGCAAGCGTCGCCCGTGTCCAGCCACCGCCCTTCATCGCCCGAGATGCGAGAACACCGAGATGTAGAGATGTCAGAGGCGGAAGACGGTATGCATGTTCTCAGTATGACACGATTACCCTCCACTAACTCTCGCTATAGAGTCCCAACCCGCGACCGACCAACCGGCCGGACGTGACTCGGACCCGGCTTCGCAGTCACCGCCAACCGCCAGACCGTCACAGCCTCAGGCGACTCATGCGTCCGCACCAGAATTCGTGAGCTCTAACGTATATCGTGCCGGTATACACAACTCACAATCACGCAGGTCACTAGAGAAGAGTTTGACGCATTCCGGGCGGCTTTTGGTTCTGGTGCACGTCACAACGGACGAAAGCAAGGAGACACTGTGCGAAGGGCTATTCTTAAAGCCCATAAACTTTCTTCTCCGAAGCCGGCAGCTCAACCTCGCGGTAAAGACGTTAATATCAAACGCGTGAGTGGATCATGGTGTCGATAACAAACCCCCTCACTCATGCTGTACAGGCTGATCTCCGTATCCTTGTTCTACGACTACTGGACCGCGAAAACAACAAGGTGCCATTCCCTTCGCACAAGATCCCTACGGCGGCCGAAATCGCGGCGTTTCAGTCACACCAAATCGGTGGTCCTTCCAAGGACAACTGGCGCGTTGACCCGAGAACCAGATCCGGGGCACCGTGGAATTCCAGGGCGGGGCTTGTTCTCACTGATATACTCATCGGGGAGGGTGCAATTGTTGTACAAGAGAGGCAGACGACGTTGGCATGGTTCAAGAGATATCATGACGGCACCCTAAGATCACACTACGTCTCAATCAACCTCGGCAACGATGCAGCGCGTCAAGCCAATAGAGATCGGTCCAATAGAGTTCAGCGCCATGAAACGGTAAGTCGGAGATTCGCAGTCATCCGTACACTGCATCTGACACCCCTGCCAGCTCGGCAACCTACGTCTCACGACTGCCAGCAAGCACGAAGAGCTTGCTCCTGTTGGCCATGTAGTCGGTTGGGCAGGTCCGAAGTCGGCACTTCACAGCGATGACGAAGAAGATCATCTGTCTACCACGCCCAGGTACAGCATTGTGGAAGACGTATGGAAGTCACGCAAGACACGCCGGTACTTGCGCTCGATGGACCTTCTGCACATCGGGGATAAATTTGACGAAGGGGGTCAACATCGCACGGCGCCCGGGAACTGGTTGCGCGAGCGCATCCCCGGCCATGATATCCCGAGCAAATCTCAGAACCCGCTTGCTGGACTACCTGTCAACTTTTATGACAAGGACTGGCTCGCAGCTCAGGCCCCAGAGCGTCGCGAATCTCTCAATCTGCAACTGGAAGTCTCACTGGAATTCCCTTTCAAGCTCCGCATGTACGTTTTCTTTGCGTCGCTTGAGGTGACATGGATCCTGATCTTTGTAAACAGAAGGGCGGCGAGGGTTCTTGGGCTGCTACGCGAGACTGGCCCCGTCTCTGACTGGCGAACCCTCCGTATCAGTGATCAAGAACTCAAGTTGTTAGACTTATACCTTGATACCGGCAAACGCCCACCTGCAACTTACGGACAGGCAGACATGTGACGGGTTTCTGGTCTACGTATTGTACTTGTAGCCTTGGTACTCCCTTCGCGCTCCTACCTTTGTATGATTTAGAGCGTATCTCAATCGAATGAGAGTTTGGGCACTACTGCTGCCGTCAAACAGGTCATCACACGTTTTGAGCGAGCAAGCGCGCCTCTCAGGCTTCGCTCCTGCTTTCATCGGCACCTACCCAAGAACGGTCGTCAGACCAACTTCATCTTCCCATTGATGGACTCGCATGGCAATCAACCACCACCTGGCTCTCGACGAAGGAGATTCGTACAAGAGAACGCGAGTTATATCCCGGAGAAGACGTCTACCATAGCGTCGAACGTGGGGACGAATAACGTTGATCGCGTCGCCGCGCGTCAACGTGAGGTGCGCGTACACTGCTCGTCGTCGTTTGTCAATGACTGACATTGTTCTATAGCATATATCGGTAGCAGGAGCGAAACGTATGCAGATGAATGCATGGCATGTCCTTGTACGTCGTCGTTGCCTCACTCCTCCACTTGCGATCTCACGTGGACTCTTAGCCTGGTACACGCTGTATGGTCCTCTTAATCCTCTTGCTCATTGTCGGCATTGCGCTCTCGCGGATGTACCACTGCTCGGATGTCCTTCTCCCTCTTCGCGCCCGGATCGCTCTCCAGTATTCCGTATCCGCGCTGCAAGATCTTGCTCGAAGGCTGCCCGATATACTCAATCTCGCTGCATCTGACACTCCGCGAATCACATTCGAGGAATCACACGAATTACGAGACCTCGCGGCCATACGCTCTGGAGCATCCATAATAACGCCGTTAACTTCGCCGACCTATCAGATAATCGAACCGTGGCCTGCTCGTCTGTACCGCAAGACAATGGAATCCATCTTCCAACCCGAGTTTACACTCTCCTCCTCGCCCAACTCAACCATCTCCACAAGTACATCTGCCATAACCTGTTGGCCGTTCGTTGGCGCACAGGGAACAGTCGCTATCCGATTGCCGGAGCCGCACCAGATCGTGTCCGCCACTGTTGTCTTCACAAGCAGCGCCCTACTACGCGCACGAGTCGGTGTACCCGCAGGCTTTCGCCTTTGGGGCCTGATATCCAACGACCATCGCAGTCTACTACCGTCATCCTGCCTTACTTCCAACGGACTTTTTGCCTCCCATTTGGTTCCGCTCTTGGATGGAGACATGGACAATACGATCCCCGTGCTACTGAGCGAGTGGGCGGACGAAACGGCTAGCTCATCTGACATCGCGATACCCTCTTCACCTTGCTCGGTACCTCTGGAAATGGTTATATTTGAGATTAAGGGTAGTCAGATAGATGCGCCGTTTACATGCGTCAACCGCTTCGGGTTGCTCGGTTATTAGTCGCTACGGTTTGCTTCGTTTTTCGTCTGAGTTCGCCTTGATACTACATCGGCCCAATTAGTGCTCTACCTGCGGTCAGGACATTCTCTAGCTTACTTCCCTCCGCTCCTTCACGACT